GTATATTTAAGCAATCCCTCTTTCTCTTTATTCCAGCTCCTGTGCTAAGTTAAGCTTTGCCTTCCGTGCCTGATTTTTCTTGATACCCTTTGTTCTCAGCATCACTGTTCCTATACTATTCTCTCCTATGGCTCAAGCGGGATCTCTGTGTTATCAAGGGAGTGATGAACAGATTCGATAACTAGGGAAAGGGGAAGGGGGGATGACTTAGGGAGTGCTGCCTTCCCTGCTCCATCCTGGAGTCGTCAGACACTGGCTTAGTCAGCCGGTGCAGGCACAACCTGTTATTCAGAGAGCTTAATTCACCTCTTTTATATCACTGTTTAAGCAATTGATTGTGTGTGAATGAAGGTGCCAAAAGCAGCAGGCAAGGGAGCTGGAAGAGGGAATGTTTAGGGACTGTCCATGTAAAATTTGCTTTTCTTCAGATGCATCATTTGTTTTCATTCCAAGTCTGACTTCTGCTAGGCATTTGAAAAAGTGAACAAACAATTCTAGGTCTGAAGAAAAGTGGATTAAGATTTGGATATCATTGGCATGTAATTGACACATAGCTCTTACCTCTGGGGGAAAAAAAAAAAAAAAAAAAAAAAAAAGGATAAAAGGATCCTTTCTTTTCTTGTCAAAAGGTAAAGAGAAGTCTCTCCGGGATCCTGAGCCCTTTGGCTGGTACTTATCCCACACAATCCACTGGGATCATCCCCCCAAACACCAGCCTAATCTTAAACTGATTCTTATTTATTCCTGTAAAACTTATCCACGGCAACAACAGCTTCTGGTGCCTCAGAGCTGAAGTTCGAGCTGTGTTAGCTGAGCCCCATTCCCTTCCTGGAGAGACATGCCAGCTGCCAGCAGCCCTGTACTCCCACGTGCTGGGAAGCCAGCTTACTATGGAAGACGATCAACATAGTGCTCTGCAGGAGGTGCAGTTGCAAATAATCATTAGAAAAGAATAATTAGAGAGACTTTAAGGATCAGATTATTATTTTATTTTATTTTATTTTATTTTATTTTATTTTATTTTATTTTATTTTATTTTATTTTATTTTATTTTATTTTATTTTAGGTAAGAACAGGATGACAGATGCTCGAGGAATACTACAGTTTTCTCTGAAAAAGAGAGGCACTAGGAGTGGTTCTCTAGCTCATGCTCAGCTGTTCTCAGCATGCTTGCATCTCCTCCAGGAGCCACAGCTGCAGCCTGCTCCAGGAAAGTGGACAGAAGGAAAACTTCCAGCTGGGGAACCCGATTAAGCAAAGTGCAGGGAAGATGGCAAAGTGGCCACCTGCTTTGACAATGATGCATCTGCTGTGGGGGTGACAGTAGAGTGGAGCAAGTGGCTTCTATCGTTATGACTTGCAGAAGTCCTTAATCCCAGCTAGTCACCTCCTCGCTGCCAGTGAACTCCTGCCTGTACACCACCCTTTGTTTCTTAAGGCTTGGGGTCATGAAATATGCCAACATCTGCCCAGTGCCTTCCAGCGGTTTCAATCTGAGGGTCTTACCCTGTCCCTAAGGACTTTCCCATGGAAGATGGAGGTGTCTGGGAACAGGCCACAGAGGTTCTTCCTGTGCTCAGAGCTTCATGGCTTTGATTTCTGAAGGTGAAAATACTAATAATTTATTTTAAAACGAGCGCTAACTTCTGCCATCTTTCAAGTGTAAAACAAATCACAAATGGTATGTTGAATATTCACCTGTCTGCTATGACTAAAATGTACGTACAAAAGCTGTTTAGGAAGGAGTATTACATACACTTTCCTTCCTCTCTTTTCCCCCTTTCTCTGCCTTGCTGGTTTTTGAAGAGGATGATATGCCACATTTCCTGAAGCCATGTTCACACAGCCAGCCCGCATTTCTGGATACACAGACACAGGAGAACTTTGTTTCCCTGGCAACTGAAAGCACAGAAAAAGCTCTTCCAGCATCTCCTCCCTTTATTTGGGCTCACCATTATTGTATTCTTTGGTCAATCAGGTAGTAAAAACAATTATGGACTAAAAAAAGCATTTTGACAGCCAGCTGCACTTAACTCATCTTGCCTCCCTCACAATTTCTAGAATAAAAAGAGACCTCTACACATGATCCTGTACCAAAGTGTCTGGCTCATGGCTGGACTTCAAGGTCTGCCCTATTCCAAAAATTTAACTTAAACCTAGAAAGTGGCACAGTCTTCAGGGAAGCAATGTTGGAAGCTCAGCAGCTTTCACACAGCATCTACAACCTGTGAGCTGCTGCAGCACCGCGAGTCGTGCCGGTGATTCAGTACACTTCGTACTTACCTCTGAGTCAGGGCTGAATTAATGTCCCAGTGCATTATTGCGATTTTGAAGCACAGTGCTGATGGTGGCAGCTCTTTAGTTTAGATTTTGGCAATTAAAAAAAAAAAAAAAAGATGTGGAATGTGGAAGCCTTCCCACCTGCTATTGTTAAATATCGCATGTATCCCTCCCCCACTGCTACTGTGAAATATCACATAGCTCCCTTCCCCCATGTTCCTTATTCATTCAAAGAATTTCACAAGGATTGCAAAGGAAAACACTTCGCAGTTACAAGATTCCCAGTTTATGGGTTTCCTTACGCTTAAATGTAGCAATATCGTGTAGTTTACCTGTGAATGGAGAAAGCCTGGACACGTAGTTGTGTAAATACATGTGTATTGTACTGCCTAGCTATCAGACAGCTGGATGTGGCATTTCTGTACCATAGAGGGCTGTGATTCACATTTTAAATCATGATTCTTAAATATAGAATTTTGTACATAGTTTTGCATTTTTAATGCAAAAGTTTTGCATTTAATGCAAGGTTTTAGCATTTAATGCAAAACAAGTTCAGATGATTTCTCTTGTGCCTCCTAAAGTCCAGTGAGGTGAACACTGAATCTACAGTATTGTAGTGAAAAAAAATGAGGGTGTGTAATCCACAGATTTACAACTTTGATGCAAGAGGCAGGTTACAGCTAAATGATTGGGACTGTGCTCTTATGTCTTTTTATTTTAATTATTATTATTATTTTTTTTTTCAATTAAAAAAAAAATCATTGCTTTCACATCATTGCAACAATCATTGCAACACAATGCCTTTTGTCTTTTACCTCCATCAGGGGGGCTTCAGGCAGAAGTGTTGGTGTGTAGACAGGCTAGATCTGCAAACTCCTTTCTCTTCCCCTGTGACTTCAGGGCATGTGTCCCATGCAGCTATAAGGTACACTTACTCCATTAGGGGTCAGTGACCACAGCTGTTAGCACATCTTTTTTTGTGCTAACTCTAAGATGACTGAAGAATTTCAGCACAGAATTTACCTAGAGAAAGAGGAGCTCGCTGCCCAACCACTGATGTTTGAAAAAATCTTTGAGTCTCTTGTTAATTAATCTTACTGATTTCTTCACACCATCTGTGCTTGAGATTTATTCAGAGCAATAACGAACTTTTCTTCCTCATATAGATGTTTCTTATCCAACTGTAGCAAATGAAGAATGACAAACTGTTGCTTCTTCCTCTGTATCACCAGCCTAACCCTTATAATCCATTTTATTGATTATTTTGCAGCTGCATATGCTCACATTTAAGGTACAATCCAAATAAAACAATTGTTTATAAGAAACAGATTATCAATGAATGCTAAAATATTGCTACCTTTTGGCTTTCCTGTATTTTTTAATTCCAGAATGTGGAGAAGTCCAGTGAAGATGTTCACAAGTTAAAAAATGCCAAACAAATCTACGTATGAGAAGAAGCAGTGGTAGTAATTCCTTTTTGTGTATTTGCATGGGCCCATGGATTACAGAGGGAAAAAATGAGGGGTGGAGGGCGAGAGCATTTTAAGTTAGGATCTCAGTTTATCTTCCAAGAAATGATGATTATTGTCTTAAGCCTGTGTTTCTCCTTTAAAATATATTTGGCTCAGGGGTGTTTCTGCTGTGTGTTTGCTGTCTTACACTTTTTGACATCTCCATTAAAGGTGAAACTTTCAGACAGCTTTTCAGACAGGTAATGAGCAGATGCTGAAGCTCTGGAGGAAGCAGTAACCACTGTCAGAGCCATCACCATGTTTGCTTGAGCCTCTGCCTCTGAAAAAGGGGATTCTATACCTTTTAAATCTCCTTCATAACTTTTAATTCAACAGCTGACACCTTTTCTCATCTTGATTATAGGTTTAGAATTAAACAAATGTTTTAAAAATAGAAACCTCAGCGTTATCACAGACAAAAGGAACCTGAAATAAAGTTTCTAGAAGGATGAAGGAAACTCACGACCCCTTTTCTGGATGTCTGAGCTTCACCACATGTCTAGAGAGTCATGACAGTCTGTAGTTGCCAGCGGACACCTGCTCTCCTGCTGGGAGCTTTGAGGTGCATCCAGTCTGGACATTTTCCACTTCTTCCAAGGGAGAGGTCACTACTAAGGTTCTTGCCTCATCTCTCCAATTTGCCATTTAGAGGGAGTCCTGGTGGTGATTTCAAGGCCTGTGTGCAAATTAAGGGATATACTGAACACTAATTGGTGTTAGCACTTGATGGAGTATTTATGGGATTGATTCCGAGGGATTTGATTTCTGCATGTGCTGCTTCTCTATGCCTAGTATGCTTAGCTTCTCACACCATGTGGAACAGCTTGAATAAAGTAAGGACAGTGATCAGGGTGTTCTCAGCTGTTTCTGCCTCTCTGCTTTGATACCCAGCTTCTGCATGAGTTACAGGTATAAGGGAGTAGGAGCACAGCCACCCTGCAAGAGGCATTTGGGACATACAGTTTTGAAGCTGAGGCAGCAAAAGGCTGATGGACCAGACAAAAGATGTAAACTGAAAAAAGTCCTTTTATTCAGCATCTACTAGCCTGTAAAAGCATGCAGAATTCAATAAGGCAGAGGAAATCATTGCTTGAGGCCTGGGAGCGCAGGGGCAATGAGAAAAGGTGATTTGGAAAAGTGAATAAAACCAAGTATTCATTCCTTGCAGAACTTATTTCTTGCTTATCTTTTAATTTGACTGCCTCTGAGCATTTAGGCAGAAGTCATGTGAGCTCCTGAGCTGCAGGGACAGAGACGGAGGAGAACGCGTGCATCAGAGCAGAGTGCTGCCGGAGCCCTGGCAGGGGGAGAGGGAGGCAGAGAGAGCCTGGGAGGGAAAAGGCGAAGTGGTGGGAGCTGGAACAGCAGCAACTGCTGCTAGCACGCCACTGCTCCTGCCCGGGAATTGGCTCGGCTGCCAGCACGCATCTCCAGAGGTGCAGGTGCCTCAGGTTCAAAAGTCCGAGAAGACCTGTGGTACTTCCAGGAGCTACGGTGGTGCTTTTTTTCCTGTGAAGAACATCTGTCTGAGGACTCTGTTCCTTCCTCTGGACTGAAAGAGGTAATTCATGTCATTATTTTGTCCCTTCTCTGGAAGCAGATAGGGGATCTGGAAAAAAATAGCTCAGGGCTGGCAGTCAAAGCAGATGTGCAGAGATGTGGTGGGTTTCTCTCTCCTTGCTTATAGTAGAGCTCAGAGAATAAAGAGCTCCTGTCATTAGGATGCTCTTTGATTTAAATATGGAGGATGGGAGAGACAGGGTTAAAGTGTGGGGGTGGATCTGAGCTGCTTCCCATCTGATTTGTTTCTCTGTGTAATCTCTGAAAGTGGAGGAAAACTTTCCTTGGGCACCTGGAGGAGCAGCACTTACCCATTACACACTGAGCTGTAAAACTTGCATTTTTTTATTTTTTTGAATCCGAATGTGGTTTGCTTAAATATCTGCTTGGCAAATCACAGTTCCTGCCACAGAAGAACTCCCTTTTAACAGGTACAAATTTTGGAGGGCTGAACATCCAGTGGCCGTGACAGCACTTTTGCCTCATTCCCTCTCTTTTCAGCACACTTGCCTCCTGCAGCCTGCGCTCTCCTGCTGGTCTCTCTCCTGCCCGTGGGGGCCGTGGCCCCTATGGATGCCCCCGTACAGATTTTCCGTGAGGAGCCGGACTCCACCTGCTCGCCGGGGCCCTGTCGCCCCCCCAGCACCAGCAGCAGCTGGCCCCTGGGCTGGGCAGACTACGACAACAACGCCACCGGGGCCTTTGGGGACAGCCAGCACAACCACACCAGCATCTCCCCTGCTATCCCCATCATCATCACCGCTGTCTACTCAGTGGTCTTCGTGGTCGGCTTGGTGGGAAACTCTCTGGTCATGTTTGTCATCATAAGGTAAGAGGCTTGGGTGTAGCTGTTTGAAAGGGATGCAAATGGCTGTCCTGAAATTTATCAGTTGGTGGGGTGCCTATATGAGGTGATGTGCATATACGAGAAGGTGGAAAAGAAAAAGTAGCTGGAATGACCCCAAACCTTTTCAGTCACTGAGGTTTGTCTGGAAACGCAGATTCAGGCAGAAAGGAGCAGCTGGTTAAAAGTGATGAATCCTGCAGGAAAGGTGCTTGGTGCCTGGGAGCTGTGTTCACCGGGTGCCCTCTAGGGATGAGAGGCTGCCCTTGTCCGAGGGAAAGTGGAGAAGAAAACTTCTGCAAGGTAGTTTATTTTTTTTTTCTCCTGTGAGGAGTCCCCTAGGGAAGGCTTATGTGTCTAGTCGTGTGGACACTGATACGTTGCTGCCTTGTCACCTAGTGGCTCGTTTAACAAGAGGGGAAAAAAAGGAAACGCTTAAAGGAAATGCAAGAGGTGTTGTTTCTCTGCTTAGTGGTGTTTAACTCCAGTTGTTGTCATCTTGAAGAAAGCAAAGCAGATGCAGAGGCCTTTCCTATTGTTTTTCCAGAAGCAGGACAAAGCTGTGTATCTGTATCAAGTAGTTTTTCACATTAAACCACTTAGTGAAATGCACCAATACTTGTGTATTGGCATGTATTTTAGCTGACAGAATGATTTTTCTGTCTTTTTGTGCTGTCCATTTGCAATTTATAAAGATGCTCAGATAGTGCAGCTCAGCAGAGTGATAACGAGCAACCAAGGGAACTGAAATCATACAACTTCTCAGAATCCTGCTTCACATTCTATTTGAATGCTGGAAAAAAAAATACTGTGGAGTATTCATTCCTTATATAAAATCAGCTTGAGCACAGTAAGAAATATTGAAGGATTGCAAGGGATCTTGTTCGTAAAGAGTGCATGATAAGGGTCAAGCAATTGCAGAATGGTGAAATAACTCTCTCAGACTTGATACAGAGGGAAGTTAACTGGAAGCAGTGAAGTTAATGGTGATATACTATGTGAAAGGTGAGTTATAACCAGATGAATACCCTTGAAAAATGGAAGTAAAATTCCTTTTAAAAGTTGATCTAATAGATAAAGATGCCTGTGGTCAATGTGGAGTAACTGGTTTGCTCCATCTTTGTGGTGCTATAATTTTGATACCCCTTCCTGCTTTTTTACCTTCTTTCAGAGTAGAGATTTAATTTCTTTTTGAACTTGCAAGAAGAGAGACTCCGTACTTGACATGCATAGTGGCAAAGGCAGTTTTTCTAAATCATCACTCACTTAACAGTGATAGTGTTGATTAACTGGCCTGAGAAGTGGAAAAAAATTCAAATGTAGCCAGGGCTCTGAAAGTTAACATGTATGTATTACACTAGTTCATATATATTTCTTTTTTTTTCCTCCTTTTTCTCTTCTAAGATTATTTTTTGTGAGAGTCTAGTTAGACTTGCCTCCTTCTTCTACCAGTTCCCACAATTACATTACAAATTTATTTATGTTATATTTGGGTCATTATATATTCCAAATATTAATGCAAGAGTTGTATTTTTCATTTTTGTCCTAACCTCTCATCTCCCTTTCTCTTTCCCTCAAGTCCTCTCTCAGCATGACTGCACCTCAAGATAGGTTTTCACAACCCATTGAAAAATGCACACTGCAGTAATTTGCTTTTCTGTGGAAAGCCAAGGTCTGTGAGATGTTTGTGCAAGATGGTGGCAAGGCATAGGGGGAACATATCCCCTTGCCATCCCACATTGACTTTCTCTCAGCTGACATGAATCTCAAGGAGGGTGGGAAAATGATTCTTTATCGACCAGTTGAATAGAGGGTTTCTGTGCATCCCCTCTTCGCCATTTCTCATGTCTCCAAATCCTGGATCTGCTTTCCTCTTCCTAACTCTGGCTGGACCAGCAGGCAATGCAGGCCTGGCTCCTCCTCCCTTTTCTCTTTTAAACAACAGCTGATATTGTTGTTGTCCTGGTTTCAGTTAGGATAGAGTTAATTTTCCTCATAGTAGCTGGTATGATGCTGTGTTTTGGATTTAGGATGAGAATAATGTTAATAGCACACTGATGTTTTAACTGTTGCAGAGCGGTGCTTACACTAAGCCAAGGACTTTTCATCTCTTTGCTCTGTTCTGTCAGTGAACAAGCTGCAGGTGCAGCAGGAGCTGGGAGGGGACACAGCCAGGACAGCTGGCCCAGACTTGCTAAAGGGATATTCCTTACCATACGATGTCATGCTGAACAATTAATAAGGGGTAGCAGACTTGGGTAGGGGATCAGTTGCTCAGGAATGGGATGGGTATCAGTCAATGGGTGGTGACCAATTGCATTGTGCATCACTTGTGTTGTACACAGTATTAATAGTAGTACTATTATCATTATTAATATTATTTTCCTTTCTTTTCTGTTCTAATAAACTGCCTTTATCTCAACCTCAAGATTTCAATTTCTTATTTTTATTTTTTCTCCTGATTCTGTCCCCTACCCCACTGGTGTTTGTGTGTGTGTGAGCAAATGGCTCTGTGGTGCTTACCTGCTTGCTAGGTTAAACCACAGCAGTTGTCCACTGAGTCACCTTTTGGATGACATAAACAAGACCCCTTATGTTCTGAAACTTTCAATGAAACATGTTGAAGTATCAACGCTGTTGTAGATTCAGGAGTCTCCAAATGGTCTTGAGACCCTTCCAAAGGAGGCTCAAATTCAGCCAAAAGCTGTGGAGTATGCAGGCCTTGGGCTGTTCCTTGCTTTAAGACCAACACAAGGGTATGTCCTTTGCTGCATCCTCACATGTGCTGCTGAAGGAGCTCATGGAGACCGGCAAGTCACCAACCAAGCAGCCTATGTGCAGAGTGCTGGGTGTCTGAAATCTATTTTGGGTGTGGCGGGGATGTTCCTGCTGAGGGGGAAACCCACAGAAGTGACCGGAGAATGACACTTCAAAGGTGTGTACATGTCCTGAAAGTTAAGTAACTGCATCTGATAAATCCGTGGGATCTTTGTTTTGGTTAGGAAGCAAACCACATCATTACACAGTTTATTAAAGGAGGAAAGAATTACTCCAAATATATATTTCCAACATGATTGTAACAACTCCTTTACTGGAGGGCTGGACTATGTTCCAGACCTTAGCTCTTTCCCAGGATGGAGAGCCGATGTCCAAATACCTACAGTGATGAGGGAGTGGGTGGAGGAGGAGACAACATGCACGGAGATGCTGCATCCCTCCTGAGAAAAACAGGTGTGTGTTCTGCTTCAGTGAATGCAAAAGTGGAAGCAGAAAGAAAACAGAAGTGTTGAAAAGGCAAGAAAAGGAAGACATATATATTCCATATATAAATGGAAAGGGATAGGTCGAGACAGAGGCAGCCATACGTTCTTTCATATACTTTAAAGACATAGAGAGAGAAAATGCATTGGAGAAAATAGAGAGAGAAATATATCTCTTTAATGTGTTGAGAAATCCCTGTGATAGAAAAACATTAGAGTTGAAATAAGGTAATAAGGATGTTTTTCATCACTGTTCAGGTATCTAATTTCCTCATGTTGGCAACGAATCTTTCCATCTCCCATAGAGAGCTGTGTTGAAGGCAGGGTGGGAATGGTACTGTGGGAGCAGTATGGCCTGTTAAACCAAGTTTTAGGAAACCTGTATTCTTCCCTTGGTTTTACTTTTGGGGTACAACACATTGTTCTTACCTGAGAAGGTCACTTTGTGGCTCTGTGGCTCAGTTTCCTCATATAAAATGGAAGTATGGGTATTTAGTCTTTTTAAATGCACACAGTAACTGTTAGATTAAAAGCCAAAACTCAATCACTAAATATCCTAGGCAAGACCAGGGCTAATGTAAGCACCCCAGTTTCCTCAGGCACATTGAGAAAGGTTATTTTTAATACACAGAAAGTAGCTCTGCTTTATGTATGCAGTGCAACCTACACTCTTGGCACTCTCTAAGGTTTGCAGGAGCTCTCCCTGTGTTAAGATCAGATGCGTGGTCCTTGTACAAGCCCCGAGAAGTCTGCTGTCAGTCAACAGCCAGCGGGGCACATGGCATGTAACACTTGCCTGCAGCTGCTGTTTTTTGTGGGGAGGCAGTAAGAGAAAAAGCAGGGAATCATGTTGCTTAGCTGCACTGGTGGGAATTGCAAATGCAATGTGGGAAGAACAGTTCCCCTATGGAGGAGAAGAGGAGGCACAAAACGTTTTTGTAGAAACCACGTGAAATTATCTTACCTCACCTGTGTAAAGTTACACATCTGTGTGTGTCTTAACATGATCAGAGTTTATCTCAAACCCTCAGAGTAAAATCGTTGGCTGAAGTTGATAAATTAAATTACTTGTCCTTGCAAGCAATATAACCCTTTTCCTTTCTTTCCCACTCCCCTGCTCCTCCTCTCCTGACTTTATTTCTCCAAATGTTAGTGCTAACTTTAAACAAAATGGTGCATTTTTTGGTGACAGCTGGAAGGGAAGAAAAGTTCTCTGAATGAAAGCTGAGTTACAAGTTTAATAATGGTTTGGCTCTTACAAAAACCATAAACATACTCAGGTAAAAACTCTGTGGGAGCCATGTGACTGCCTCTTACCCACTCCAGGCTGACTTTTTGCATGTGCCTTACCTCCATTATTACTGAAGTCATCTACTGAGAACAGCTGCTGACATCAAATTCTTAAATAAGCAGTCCTGTATTTCTTTTAAAATTATCTTTCAGGCTTCCAGTGAACTGAATAATTTTCTACATTCAAAAACAGTTTTAACGAGAGGCTGTGTCACAGATATGTATATTCATTCCTAAGGGAAAAGAGAAAGCTTGTATTCTGCTCAGTCTAATGTTTAAGAAAAAAAGATAACTAGTAATACATTTCTGTTCTGCTATTCATCAAACTGAGTGGCATCTTATGTAACAGGAAGAGTCTGTTAAGAAATATCATCTAAAATCAACTCCCTTCCAGATTGTTTTTAAATTTATCCACCATTCATTCCAAACCATAAT